AGACTTTGAGGGCCTTGGTGAAGACGCTTCCCCCCGGCGGGGGGGCTGCGGGGTCCTCATCCTCCTCCGAGGACGCCTGCTCCCTGACCTTCGCCATCAGATCACGGCGTCTCTGCCACTTGGTGTCGGACATCGGGAGCTCCTCCTCGTCTTCCGCCAGGAGTTCCTCCATCGGAACATCCTTCTCCGGCGGGTTTAGGAGCTCCAGGAACGCCCCTGAAGGGCGTGTCAGGGCCTTCGGCACCTGCGCCACCCCAGGGGCTGAGTCTGCCATCAGCTCGTCCTCTGCCTTGCGCTTGGCTGGGATGAGTGGGGCCTGCTCCAGCTCATCGGCGCTGGAGAAGAACCGCTCGTCAGGTGCCTGAGGGACCTCAGCAGCCAAGACGGTCCATCCTTCTTCCTCCTTCTTCACGAGGCTTGCCAGGTACTTCGCCATGGAGGCCTTTGCCTTCGCCTTGGCCTCTGCAACCGCGGCACCAGCGTAGGCGGGGGCGTACATGGCTTTGATAGGAGGGGAAAGAAAGATTTCAGATTACAAGACAGAAGGTCAGAGTCCACTTGAGCCAAAATGGTGGCCCAAGTGGACACTTATGAAGAGTCAAGACAAGCGACCACCTGCGGTTAACGCTTTAGCCCAGCGTGTCTGTGTGCTGTGTGTGTGTCTGTCTGTGTCTGTGTCTGTGTGTCTGTGTGCAGTGTTTGTGTGCGTTCAAAGAACGCCAACGAAGATGCTATTGGAAAGGATCCCTCATGTTGATTCACTGATTCAGGATGTCGCATGCGATAAGCTGAACTTGGGCTACGCCAAGATCAGTCATATCTCAAAACATGTTGGACATACTCCATCATACTCCCCTACGAATCAACATGAAACCCCAAAAGGGGGACTCAGGAAGTTTCCTCTACAAGTGGCGGTTTGTTGAGGTCCATCTTAGTCTGTAGAAGAGTCTTGCTGAACCAAAAAGAGGAGCTTCATCAGATATTACTGTCCTCACCCGTGCACGTGCCTCAAAAAGGCTGCGTTCAGTTTACAGGCGAATCAGGTCTGATATGGTCCCGAAACCTCGCCTCACTTGTCAGATACACCCCGGGTAGATAGCCCACACACGATTTCTGAAAAATTGCCTAGGCTGGAATTAGGACCCCTAATTCATTTTTTTTGCCTGGTTAGTGGAAAACAGAGGGAACCCAAAAAAGCAAAAAGGCAAACAGGGGGGCGAATTCTGGGGAAGTTGCAAGCCTAAATTGTCGCGTCAACCTTGGACGAAAGTGACGCGCTTGCAGATCCCATGAGTGAACTAAACATTTCGCCCTGCGACGCTGCCAAACATCATGTCATGTCTGCTAGCCGATGGGCACATATACGATGGCAACAATGCCGGCTCCCATGGTGCAGGCAATTCAACTGTGCCGCCTTGTGCTTGGTCGCAAAAAAACATGCACACCGGCTGCACAGATTTATCTATGAGCTCTCATCATGTGGACCTTTGGTTCGACAGGTGCAGCCTTAAGTTCGCCCTCCACATGTTGCAGGGTTTTCTTCTCACTGAAAGGCACCAACATCAAGAGGGCATCGCGCCAGGGCAGGCTTCTCGTGTGAAGCATCTGGACCGGGCAACAGGTCCTCTAAGGAGATCGACTTGCCCAAGGTCAAGTTGAACTCAACAATGACTAAACATGAGTAATATGTGGCAAACAAACGGGGAACCCCTAACAATGTGGTGTTCCTGTTGCTTTCTCTTGAAATCAACATCTTAAATAGGGGCCAATACCCAAAGCGCACATAGTCCAAGTAAGGAGTGGGCAGGGTTGACTCCGCGCCAGAGGAAACACGAAAAACATAGAGGATTGGGGGCGTCGTCGTATTTTTGGAACTCAAAGATCCAGTTTTGCAAGTTAAACGGCCGTCAAGGGAGCACATACTCATGTTTAGTCATTTTCAAGTTCCCAGATCTTTGCGTCAGACAACTTTTCTCCCACGCCGGCCATGCCTGGCCAGCAAATTCGGCATGGATTGGTTCTTTCTGCTCGGAAAGCCTGGCGAACGAAGTCTGACAGTTCCATCTTCCAGTTCAACAGCGGAAGCTTCGAGGAGGCTTGCTCCGAAATCCCCTCTTGCTAAGCAAAGCTGCAAAGAAGCAATACCCCCTACTCCAAAGACCCTCTCTGTTCAGGGTATCATGTCGACCCCCTACTTCCTTAAGGAGGTTCTTCCTATGTGAAAACCGATCGGTTTCCCCAAAACATATTCTGGTATTTTGAGCAGGGGGTATGCTCCCCTCATGCCGCCTTGCAAATGTTGCTGCCCTGGCAACAGCCCCGGGTGGGAACAAAACAAACAACAAAAACAAAATGCGGTCCGGCCCTATTGCGGCACACGCACACACACAGCCACACCAAAAAACACACACCCGTCAAGGGCACCCTGACATTCCGTTCTGCCTTTTGTCTCTGGCCTGGATCGCAGGGTTTCAATGTCACAAAGGTCTTCTCCACCGCGATGTCCGCTGTCATCTGGCCCACCTAGCAAAACCAAACACGATGAGGCAACTACTCGAGCCAAGTGCCGGCCTCTAAGGAAAATTCCTATGGACAATTTTACTCCAGGGACCCTTTGGTGGACATTGGATGTCCAACCGTCTTGAAGGGGGGACCTAGTTAGAAGAAAAAAGTCGCAGCCATATGAGTGCTCCCAAAAGCAGGGCTCCAAATATTCCGCAATCATCGCGCCACCAAGAGGAAAGACTCTATTGGTCCACCAAGTGATGACCAAACTGGCACCAAAAGGAAACATAGGGACCCTAAAACAAGGGACCACGAACAAATAGTATGGGTTCCTCTTGGTTTCCTTTTTGACGCGATGTCTGGGCAAGTGACTTTTTACTTGAGACTCTACTTTGGAAGGGTGTCATCTGTAATTGGGGACTCTCATTTGAATTGGGTTCCAACCGAAACTCCCGAGCAAAGATTCCCAAACCCCTCAGGGTGAGCTCGTCTTCGCATCGGTCACTATCATTGGTAACTTGAAGTGGACACGCCATGGCAGTTCCAAACTGAATGTGCGGACTTCTGATAGGAAAGAGAGCGCAGGTACCCATGGCAAAAGCAAATGGGCGTCTCCCTTGAAGGATCTGATCTCCTCGAGGTTCCCTTCAAACACCACGGTCGCACGGTTGGGGGTCTACGAGTGCCCCGTCCCTCGATTTCACATTGATGATTGGTGTTGAGTACAGCTAGTACAAGAAAACCGAAAAGAAGGGACAAACACTAGTTACACTCTGCGATTTAGAATGTTCTTGTGGCGGCCCAATGTTACTGGTCAACTCCTGATGAAGGCAACCAGGAGAAAACCTGCGCAACAGCGCCACTCCGAATGATTTCTCAATTGTTGCCCGCTTCGTAGGAAAAAAATCAGGTGCCGATGCATGCGGTCAAAACCATTTGTGCGCTGCTACAACTACCCCCTACTCCAAATACCCTCTTTTTTCAGGGTATCATGTCGACCCTCTGCTAAAAAAGGAGGTATTTACCATGGAAAACCAGGGTTTCCCAAAAATACCAACTGAAAAAAAGGCGGGTATTTTGAGTAGAGGGTAAACCTCGGCCCCCGACTTCCCTGAGCCTTCAAGAGAGGGCTCTTAGAACCTTCTTAGAAGGGGTTCTGCTCGCCTTTCCTTGGGGAAAAGCGGCTTGATGTTTCTACTTACCAAACAACTCCCTTGAGATTCCTCATGAGCTTTGCCAAGAAACATCAACTCGGGTCATCTACTGTTTCACATGTGTCGTGCTCCACAGTCGCATAAGCACAACAATACACACAGTATGACATCCACTCATTCTTGCCGTCAGAAGTTATGATACGCGCAACGCCGGCCCCTTGCAACCAAGATGGGAAGGCAAGGCTCTGTCAAGCTCTTGAAGCGAACCCTCTGCGTCGTGATGTTGCCGTGTCTTCAATCGACAATTCAAAAACCATCCCGCGTCAACGTTCCCACGCCTTGAAGATTCCAATGACAATGCTGGGTGATGCAGCCATGAAGCCGCTCAGAGGTCAACTCTTTGCTTAGCGGCGAAAGCCAAAAGGGATTTACTCTGCGAGCCAAGGCAGCGACAGAGAAGACATAGCGTATGTCCTGAAAGGCAAGTGACCGCAATGCTGCATCCACGCGCTTAGGACCAGTGAAATGAACACAAGCTACCAGTGGCACTCCCAGCTTGCTGGACATGCCCCGAATGCAGAGTTTCACATAAGCAAGCATGTTTAAACGCAGAGGCAAGCTCCAATGTGCTGGCATGTGGGTTTGTCTGTCTCAAGTTAAAGAGACCTCCCCCCCCAGACAGAAATGGCTTCGGATTCCTGTTGGTTTGCTTGAACAAACCAAACAAAAAGTAAGAACTAAAAAAAAAAGGATTCCCAGCCATACCTGTGAAGCAATCCGAGGTGCCACAAAGCCAAAGACAGAAGTGACATTAGCCTTTTGGACTCGAACCGCTGACTCTCCATGCATAGCTCTGCAGATTTTGCAGGCGCTGTGAGACATGTGGCCTTGAATTTGCATCGCTCGTATTTTAAGGAACCCTTGATTGGTGCGTGTCTGCTTTTCAGGTAACATCAGTTCATGTAAGACTCGTTGCATCTGTTCAAGACCGGAGCTCGTGCAATTTCATTGACACGAGCTCGGCTAGCTGAGGCTTGGATTAAGCCCTCAGCGGCGAAAAGCGAATCCACGAATCCCAGCACCCTTGAAGGAACACCAAGAGAAAGCGCCAGGGAACCTTGAAATGCATTTGTTTCGCGGGTTGAGAAATGTCCCAAAGGCGGGAGGGGGGGCTGCTTTCTTGGAATCTTACTAGGTTCTTCCGTAGAGAGGTTCGAATACGGGTGACAACTTGTTTTTCTGTAGTCTATTTTAGGGGAACCCTCCCCCAAAAAAGGGGAGAGAAGGGCACTGGGGGACCTAGCTCAGATCCCAACCTTTGGATCATCAGCGCTGCCCACATCACTGGAAGAGGTCTGATGGCGCAAAGACTGCCCGTAGGAAGCGCGCCAGACCCTTGTGGCTCACCTGACAAAGTTTTTCGAAACATCCTCCGTGGATCGGAAGAAGAATGTCGCAACTTGTTGTTTTCCCCCCAAAAACAGGAACTATCCCAGCTAAACATGTGTGGTGTGAATGCTCTTTGAAAGGGAGAAACCATTTGGATGAAATTGAACAGCTGTAAGGCTACCATCCTGCCAACAGCGATGCTTGTTTCATGCAGGTATGCCATGAATACAACAACAACTGTGACTTGTGGGTTCTCTACAGGTATCGCAACATCGAATTGCAATGATCTTGATCCGCGTCCTGTCAACGCATCTTCGCTGTGTCCATTTGTTTTCCCTGAAAGCTGCAACCAAAATGGGTTCTTCGATTTTAGGACCACCCCAATATTGAAATGCAAGTCCTCTCTTATGGCTTGCCCGGTCATAATTAAGTACTCGTGGGCTGCATGTCCATGAATGCCACACAAATGCTCGATGATCGGAGATGAGGAGCCAATACAGCGACGTAGCACGCACAGGAACTCGCAAAGCACAAAGGGAAACCCTGAACACAAGGTGTCTACTCCAATCCAGGCAAGCTTGTACATACCCCTTTTACACCCCCTTGGACAACTGTACCCAAAAGGCCTTTTCATGTTCATACCCCTGTCCCCAACAGGGGTACATACCCCTTATACAATGGGTTGGAGACCAGGGAAGCCAAGGGGTATGAACAAGGGGTGGTATGTACTGCCACCCCTAGATCCAAGCTTAGCCTCCAGAACATCCCCGTCAATCGAATGCCACTCACGCAGTCGGCTACGTGAGGCTAAGTCGAAACTGTTTTCAGGTGATTTCTCCCGAGCTGGACTAGACACCTTGCCATTGCCATCTGTAGCTGGATACAAGCCAAAGTCACTAGTGCACCCCACACAAAAACAAGTGATCTCGAGTAACACGAGTGCCTCCGTGCCAGAGACAAGCTAGTACGGGCTCCAATCGCTTGCTGAAGGACGCATGGGGGATTCCAGTTGTGTGTGATTCTTGTTGAGGGTGCCCTCGCAGGCTGACCAGAAGGACACCGTTCCGTTTTTCGGGTCCACAAATGTTGGGGCACCAAACCAGCCCCATGACCCTTCCAACATGGGGCCATGACCCCCGTCTGTTAAAAAATAAACCAGTACCCCTTACTTTACAGGGTGTCATGTCTACCCTCTGCAAAAAAAAGAGGTATTTACCGTGGAAAGCCTCTCCCAAGAATACCCTGAAAAAAAGGCGGGTATTTTGAGTGGGTCCTCCAGTACAAAGGTTAGAACAAGGGTACCCATTTTTTCCTGTGGTCTATTTTGGTAGGGGAACCCTCCCAACCAAAAAAGGGTGAAAGAGCGGGCACCTAGTTGAGTACTTGGCTGGAACTAGGACCCCAGCAAACAAATATCTTTTTTGCTGGTTAGTGGAAAACAACAGGGACCCCAAAAAAGCAAAAAAGTAACAAGGGGAGCTAATTCTGGGAAAGTTGAGTCGGGGAAAGTGCGGCCAGGGAGACCCTCCGGGCCGGCCGGCCTGTGCTGCTCCGAGGTGTGGATCCAGCAACAGGATCATCGCCTGCACCGCGGCCTGCGCAGTGGCAAAAAACAAATCGCCGCGGCTTCCGAAACGCACCCTGTCCCCCCCCCACCAAAAGAAAACACACCAGAAAGTGCCTGCGAATTTGATTTATGTTTGTTGTTGTTCTTCTTTTTGTCCCTTTCTCTCTTTCTTTTTTGTTAATATATAATTATTGTTATTATTATTATTATCATTAGTAGTAGTAGTATTATGTCTTTCTTTGCTTGGGGGGTATTTCCCCCTCAACAGATTGATGCCGAGAAACATTCATGCACCGGCTTCGACCCCACAGGATTTTTGCGAAAGAAAGAGACCCTTGGGACATGGAGGTGGGGATTCATGTCCACTTCTGTAGAGGCGGTTCCCGAAGAAATGGCTCAAGCCCTGGTGGCTTCACCAACCTCGGAAGTCCCTAAAACTCCCAGACCTCCGAAGCCTCACTGAAAGCTGGTACTCAGCCGTTGGGGAAATCGGAAAAGCTGACGGGCCCAAGGCAAGTTGGTGCGTTTCGGGCCTTTACTGGGACAAAGGGAGAAAGTCAGTCAAATTCATCCATTCTGGCAGCAAACATGCTGGTACATAAGCGCGGAACGGGGGAATTCATTTGGGTGCAGTGGGCGTTTCCAAGTTTAGGGGGCATTTCCAAACATAGGGGGCCCCCTTTTGGTGGGGTTCAAAGTTCCTCGGCCACCGGTCAGCAAGTTAGGAGAAGGATAGGCTGGGATCCATAGACCCAGAAAACTGCGAAGCCGCGCACGTGATGCTGCTACTGATAATGATGCTGCAGCTCATGATGATGATGATGATGATGATGATGATGATGATGATGATGATGATAATGATGATAATGATGATGATGATGATGATGAGGATGATGATGCTGATGCTCATGATAATCATGATGAGTGTGCTGGTGATGGCGTTGATGGCTATGACTTGCTTCTCGTTGTCATGGCTATGAGGACGACGGCGATGACGATGACGACAATGATCCATTTTTGGCCAAAGGAGGTTCCTTCAATCCATTCCTTTGTAAAAGTAATTGTTGTCATATATTCCAATATTCATTCCCATTTTAGTGGATCCGAAACCCACCAAGACTCCAGAAGATTGAAGGGTGCCGCTGAAGAATGGGAGTGCCATATATGTTTTGTTTTTTCTTCCAGATGCGCCGTGCAGTCATCGTCTCGCCTGCACCAGCTCCGACTTCAGGAGCACAGGCCGCTCCGCGTCGGCCTGTGCTTCCAGGCCCTCCAGGCAATTCCCCAAAAGTGTTAGACGAGTGGTGGAGGTGGAGTTCTCCCCCACTAAACCCCACCAAAAACCTAAAAGCCTAACTAGGTCCTTGAGTATATAGAGAGGTTCCAAGAAGGGTACCCATTTTTTTTAGGTCATCTATTTTAGTAGGGGAACCCTCCTCCAAAACAGGGTGAGAAAGGGCACTGGGGGACCCAAGTTTCTTGCTGGTGCGAGAAATGCAGGGAACGAGAAATGGAATGACCCCTATAAAGCCATCCCGGCCTTTTGGTTTTTCTTTAGAGGGACCCCTGGGTTCATGCCACATTCCCTACTGAGCACCAGCAAGGTTTGTTGACCACGAATATAGTCGAAAAGCCCCAAAAAGTGAAAGGCAAACCATCACCATCACCATCATCATGATCATGTAGAGCTTCGACTTTCAAATACCCCACAATCCAATATCATGCACAGGCTGGCCCCAGTCTGCCAAAAGAAATCCAACACTTTGAACACACGTTGTCCAAGTCAAGCACCACCCTACAATCTATCCTATAATGCCTTTTCCCACTCCAGTCAGACCCAAGACTTTTGCCTAACTACACCTTGGATTGCCTTGCGCACACGGGTAGCTGTATCCATTGTTGCAACACGTGCCTATCCCAAAACGGTGACCAGCCTTTCGTCAGGCTTGTTGGGATGATGTCGCAGGGAGCCCTGCTTGACTTTCTGGGTCCCGAACCGAGGAAAAAGGCTGGAAGCTT